AGTAAACGTAACGAGTTCGCTGCGTACATTTAACTCAGCAAAACTCTGTAAAGTGTGAATGGGAAAGAAGTTAGAATTCATTTAAAATATTTAAGTTTTAATAAAATAAACGCCCAAAAAAACGGGCATGTAAGGTCACATATTAGCCTACGGATACGAACAAGGTATCCTGACTTAATTGATTTTTTGTCATTAGAAATATTTCTTAAACGCATTTCAGCATATAGAAGTGTAACGACTTAGCTTCGACCATTCGTGTAACTATACTACTAGCACTCTATAAAAATTCAACCTTAAAGTAAATTTCTCCATAATTAAAAAATAGATTCATTGATTGGGACTATGACGTTGTAACGACCATTCCGGCCCCTTCCACGGCCGGGGTATACTCAGCGTATACCAGGGTTCAGTACAAGAACTCAACAATAAAGAAATAGAAAGGGAAAAAAACCTAAGGGTCTAAGAATTTTTTTGTAAAAAAAACGAAGATGAATGTCGTAGCAATGTAATTAAAATTTGTTTTTTAAATTTTTTATTTTTAACTCCAAATACAAATAAGATACAAATAAGATACGAATTCTACTAAATTTTTAAAATTTCGATCAATAAATTAACAAAAATTAATTAAATTAATTAATTAACGAAAAAATAGAAGCAACTACAACAGGAACTGGTTTACATGGCAAGTCAGACACGGCTGGAAAAATTATCTCAGCAAGTTAAGTCAAAACTCCACCACTGCAGACACGGTAAAGGACTACAGTTGGGAGATATTTTTCGGAGCAGAAAAGAAATTACACAATGCAGTGGTGTTAATAAAAACGAAGTTAACATTGTTAAATTCTAGTGGTAGTGTTTCAGAAAATCAAGTAATATCGCGATCACAATCAGTAAAATTGCCACATATCACGCTTCCAACATTTGATGGCAATCCATTAAGCTGGTTGGAATTTCGTGATTTGTTCACACAATTGATAAACGTGCAAGCATTTAAGCCAATTCAGAAGATGTTTTATTTGACTACAAATTTGGTTGGAGAGTCCAAAAATTTAATAAAACATTTACCAGCGTCTGCAGAAAACTACACAACTGTATGGTTGGTCACTGCATTACTCAACAAGTTATTAAGTCAACGAACATCAACAACAGAACGATCTTCAGAATTAAAATACTGCATGATGTCACTAAAGAGTGTATCTTGGGTTTGCATGCACAAGGCATTCCTGTAGAACAGTGGCATGCAATATTGATACACCTCAATTTAAAGAAATTGGATAGAGTTAGTTAAACAGCATTTGAACAATTACTTAAGGATAATCGTTCGCTCGTGTCGTTACAAGAACTGCTTCAGTTTATTGAAAGTCGATTTCAATCATTAGATACGCTTGTCAGAGGATTTGATCAAAAACGTTGGAACACATCAAGGTTAGTTGGAGTTGCAAATGAACATTTTGCAAGTGAAAAATTGTGTTCCCAAATGTTATGTTGGGAACAGCACTCTTAACTATAATAGCCAATAGCGGAACGGAGATTGAATGCAGAGCATTATTAGACTCTGGTTCGCAGGCCAACCTTATCACAGACAGGCCTATTAAGAAATGAGGAGAAAGTCCCTAAAGGACGTCAGCATGCATTAAAGGTATCGGGCAGAGAAAACAAAATGCTCAACAATGAGTAAATCTAACATCTGGTTCCAGAATTAACAACTATTCAGCAAGGGTAGAAGCATACGTAATATCGAAAATTGTGTCTAATCAGCCGAGTGTGCACATCGACATATCGAATTGGAAAATACCCAGTAACATTAAATTAATTGACCCAAGCTTCAATGCTAGTGATAAAATTATATTTCGTTAGGTGCGGAGTTTTCCCATCAAATGCTATCTATAGGGCAAATAAGGATTGGGAATAATCTTCCATCATTGCAAAACACGTTACTGGGCTGGATAGTGATAGGAAAAATAAGTGATCACGAGTTAGCTCCACAGACCCAGACTTACGGCGTACTTTTAGACGATGATGAAACACTAGAGATTTCATAGAGAAATTTTAGAACTTGGATGCTATGGAACCGACAACAAAGACATTAACTCTACATGAAGAATTGTACGAATCGCATTTTGTAAACAATACGCAACAAACCAATTTGGGTCGATTCTAGTGAAACTACCTTTAAAGTAAAACTCAGCAAGACGTGGAGAATCTGATTAAATAGCGATAAACAGATTTTCTGCACTTGAAAGAAGACTGTGCACAAATGAAACTGTTTGGCAGCAATACGTGAACTTCATAAGAGAATATGAGAACATGGGTCACATGGAAAAGATTGATATCAAGGGAAGTGCACCTTATTATCAGATCCTACATCACTGCGTCCTTCGACCAGAAAGCAGCACAACCAAACTCCGAATAGTATTTGATGCTTCATGCAAAACTAATAATGGCTTCTCATTAAATGACATTTTATTGACAGGTCCAAAAATTCAATGTGAGCTTTTTTCTATTCTACTTCGTTTCGGATGTCCAAAGTTCATTTTCAGCACAGACATTGAAAAGATGTACCGGCAAACCCTTGTACATCTGAATGATCGGAATTACCAAATTATTGTACGGAGAGAATCATCACGTAAACCGTTAAATTTCTATAGTCTAAATACTGTCACATACGACACATGGTCGGCACCATATTTAGCCGTGAAATGTCTGCAACAATTGATCATTAAGGAATCATCTAAATATCCATTCAGAGCTTCGGCGATCCAAAAATGATTTCTATATTGACGATTGTCTCAGCGGATTAGACAATCTCAATACTGTATTGGAAATACAACGTCAACTTAAGGATTTGTTGGATTCGGTCGGTTTTACATTGAGCAAGTGGTGCGCCAATGATCCTTCGTTGCTTAAGGATACAGCAAAACAAGATCAAGAGGTCAATTTAGATTTTAACAGTGTAGATCAATCATCCATCATAACTTTGAGGTTATTGTGACAACCGAAAATTGACAAGTTCAGTATTAAAGGAGATCTACATCCAGCGAACCGGGTGACTAAACGATGAATTACTTCAAATGTAGCTAAAATATTTGATTCCCTTGGCAACCTGGGTTCAGTTTTAGTAACCACCAAGGTACTGATTCAGGACTTATAGCAACTCAACCTAACGTGGGATGAAGCGGTACCAAGTGAAGTATACAGCAGTTGGATCAGTTTTTGCGACGAATTAAGAGCACTTCATCGATTTTAAATTGAAAGGCGTGTATTCGGATAGCAGATGGCGACATCGTTACAACTTTATGCATTCTATTATGTTTTCGAAAAGACTTTTGGTGCTGTGATATACGTTCGAGCAAAATTGAAAGATAGACGTCTGATTAATCGGCTTTTATGTTCCAAATCACCCGTCGCACCCTAAAAAAAACACAAACTATTCCGCGCTTAGAGTTGTGCGCAGCTTTCTTGAAGCAACAGTAATGAAAAGAGTAAAAAATGAATTGAACTACAAGATGCCAACATATTATTGGACCGATTCGGAAATTGTACTGTATTGGATAAATTCGGTGCCAGCAAAGCATCAATAATTTATATCAAACAGATTTGCTGCAATTCAAGACATTTCAGTACCAAGCCAATGGCGACATGTGAGTTTACGACACAACCTTGCAGATTCATTATCACGTGATATTAAACCTTCCCAATTACATACTAATCACTTATGGTTTTATGGCCCAATGATTCTACATGGGTCCGAGGTCCGAGGAGAATTCAAAAAAATGTTATGCAGTCTACTAGATAACGCAGAGCTGAAGGGTACTTTACGTTAGGTAGCATTAGCTACAACTAGCTGTGGTGCCGACTGTGCCGATGTTTTCACTTTTTTCTACATCAATAAATTGTATTATTTTTCATTAATAATTCACTTTCGATAATTCTTCGGAAAAATATAAAACGGAAGTATGCACCAGGGTTGGTATTTGCTGTTGCTCATGAGCAGCTCAGGCTCATGAGCAATAGCCAATTCTTATGTGAGCCCAAAATGGCTCATGAGCGTGAGCCCAAAATTGGCTCATACTGAAGAGCTGCTCACCAGCGTGAGCTTTCAAGTTGCTTATATTGAAGAGCTGCTCATGAGGTCTCACGACCCGAGGGCTCACGAGCTCAACTGTTTAATAAAAAGCGATTTATTAGTTTATTTGTTTTATTTATTTTTATAAATGTTATATGTGAAAATATATAATTTGAAACTAACTTATTTATATTAAAACAATATAATGAAGCAATAATTTGAATTTGAAAAACAAATTTATAAAATATTATTATTTTCCACAAGTAAACAATACAAATATATTTACTGTTTATTTTAAGAACTTTGATTATTTCCATATTATAGTTAGTTCAAGCTTATTAATATCTTAAATCTTTTTTAATGACATGTTTTCACAAAAAAAAAATAATAATACAATCTTAAATTGGGCGCAAGAGATCTCATGAGCGGCAGCTTGCTCACGTGCGTAAGCCTATTTATAACTTAATAGCGGGCTCTTGCTCGTGAGCGTGAGCTCTGTAGTTGGGCTCGCTCGTGAGCGTGAGCCATCGTATGAAAAGAGTCTTTTGCCGGCTCATGAGCCATGAGCAGAATGAGCCAAATTGAGCCGCTCATGGGTACGCAAATACGAACTCTGGTACGCTCTTCCGTTTCGTCTCCAACAAAATTTTAATTACCTTTAATTACTTTTATTAATGCTTGTTGCAAAAATAAATATATAAATGCACTTTTGACAATTTTAAATAGCACTCTTTATTTTGCGCTTAAAAAATCTGTAACATGATTAATGATTACAGTAAAATATTACGATTGAAAAATTAAACTAAAAATTTACTCACCTTTGTCTAGTAATCACAAACAAGAAAAGAGAAAAAATGAAAAACGGAAATTTACTAAAAATTTCGAAGTCTCCAAGTCAGTTGTTTGTCATGATTGCCAAACAAAGGTTTTTAAATTATTCGCAATTTTCGGCAACATTTTCCTCCCCGCAGTCGACCCCAATGTCGTTTGCGTCAACTTTGCCGATATCCAAAATGGCCAGCTTTACGGCAGGGCGCTCCAAAAAGCCTTTTGTTGTTTTGACCTTAGCTCGTCTTACTTGGCCGTCTTTCGCTACAGTTGTCTCGATAACTATACCTTTTACCCAAGTATTTCTCTTAGCCGTTTCATCAACTATCAGCACAACGTCTCCTACCGTAATGGGTTTCACTTTATTGAACCATTTGCCGCGACGCGTTAATGTCGAAAGTATCTCACGCACCCATCGTCGCCAAAATTGATTTGCAAACATCTCAGATTGTAGCAGGCACATCTTTGGATCGATTCTCTTAGCATCACAAAATGGTTTCAAACCATTAGCGCTCCCCAACAAGAAATGGTTTGGAGTTATTAGATCCTCATCTTCACTATCGAGTGACACGTAGGTTAAAGGACGCGAGTTGATGATCATTTCAACTTCAAGTAATGCAGTACGTAAACTTTCATCCGTAAAACGTTGAGATGGCGAAATTTGATATAGCACTGTCTTAATTGTTCTAATCAGTCGCTCCCACGCTCCTCCCATATGTGGTGCTGCCGGTGGATTAAATTTCCAGTCTATTCCTTGATGAGCTAGCTTGTGTTGCATAACCGAGGAATCAATGTTCTTTAACTCCTTTCTTAAAACGTTCTCGACACCGTGAAAATTCGTTGCATTATCGCTGTAGATGGTGATAGGTTCTCCTCGTCTGGCAATAAAATTTCTTAAACACATTAGGCATAAGTCAGTACTAAGACTATGGGCGATTTCGATGTGAACGGCTCTGATAGTCAAACAAGTTATTATAACACCCCACCTTTTCAGTGCTTTGCGGTTCTCAATAACCACCATTGGTCCAAAATAATCAATACCCACATGAGTAAATGGACGTTGAAAGGCTGCTAGTCGTGCTGGGGGAAGTAAGGCCATTTGCGGCGCTTGAGGTATTGCCGATGAAATTTTACATACGTTGCAGTTTCGTCGCATCGATTTGAATAATGGTCTTAATTTTGGTATGAAATACAATTGTCTGACCTCATTTAAAGCAGTTTCATGTTGGATGTGATAAAATCGTTCATGATAGTGCGCACATATAAGGTACGATACTCTATGTTTTGGCGGTAAGAAAATAAAATCAGTTTGAGGTTTACACTCATTCGTAAAGTTACTCGCTCTGTTTTTTACTCTTATGAGCTCATTGTTATCCATATACACCTGCAACCTATATAACGGACTGTTCCTTTCTATTATTCTCCCCATTTTCAGTGTCGACCAATCTTCAAGTAGTTCCTGTTGCACGCTTTTGTATATTAAGAGCTTCGCGCGCTCAATATGTTGAACAGTCAAAATAACGTTTGTAGCATTGAAACCGCCACAGCGAGCCTTTAGTTTCCCAATGTAGAGTAGCCAATTTGCAACGGCACGGTACAACTTGATCCAGGATGAAAAATATTCATAATTGAAACATGGTTGTGTCTCGCGATGATATAAAAATTTTGCACGAGTTTCACTGGTCTCCATCGGACCTAAGTCCACCTCAGTTGGCCATTTATCCTCGTCTTGTAGCAAAAATTCTGGTCCTTCGACCCACCGCTGCACATATTCGGGACTTTGTTTTGTTTTCGTTGCACTGTCTGCAGTATTTAATTTCGTGGGTACCCATCTCCACTCTTCGACGGTTGATGCTTCTTGAATTTCTGCAATGCGAAACATTACGAATTGTTGAAATTGACGTGGATCACCACGCAACCACTTTAGCACCGTTTTGGAATCGCTCCAAATGAAACTCTTTTTAATATCAAATGTGTGTACTTTACATATTGTATTCATAAGCCGTGTGCCAATTACAGCAGCTTGTAGCTCCATTCTTGGAATAGACATCGGTCGCATTGGAGCGACTTTGGTTTTTGCTGCTACGATCCTCGTACTTACTGCATATTTAATTTTAATGTGGAAGTATGATACAGCTGCATAAGCAAACTCACTCGCATCTACGAATGTATGAATTTGTACATCACATGAACTTTCTGTTATGTATGGTTGTTATGTAGGCCTAGGTAAAGGAAACGTATGGTTAGTGAAGAAAAAGAAAAGAATAATTTGATTTTACCTGGGTTGTCCCACGCTGTCCAAGAGCACCTTGCATGTATAGGACGCAGTATTCCCTTCAGTATTCCCCTTGCCAGCAGTAGAAAATTTTGTTATTTTTTTTTTAGATTTTTTTGATTTATTTGGTTGTACTAATAAAAAATAAATAGAAACTATTATGTGCATTGCGCGCACATGCTAAGAAAAATAAGTGAAAGCTTTTGCTTCTCTTATCGTCATTTGTTTTGATTATCAAGATCGCGGCGAAAGCTCTTACACTTTCCTAACTTGCAATTTTTAGTGCTGCCAATAGAGCAGAACTTGTAAATTAGGAGTTGTAAATTATATTTTCGGAATGTAGAAAAAGACCGAAACAAATAAAATGTTAGGAGAACGGAATGTTTTGCGAACCCGCCAATATGGGTAACTGGAGATAAAGTTTTGAAAAAAAGGCCAGTTACAGGTATTAGCGGGCGTATAAAATTAGTGAGCAGAGCGGTAAGAGGACAGTTTTTTGAATTGAATTTGGCTAGTGAGCAGAGTAAATATATACGGCGGAATTTAAAAATAAAAATTGTGAACAAATTTAAAAAAAATCATTTTTATTCGTGTGAGTTACTGCATAGAAAAGAAAAAAAAAACTTAAATTAATTATTTATTCGTCTAAAAGTGAATTTTCGAAGTGTCACTTAATAGTAATCACATAATAATAATTTAAAGATAAAAATTGTGAACAAATTTAAGAAAAGTCATTTTTTTCTTGTGAATTACGACACAGAAAAGAAAAAAAGAAAAAAACCTAAATTAATTACTTATTTGTCTAAAAGTGATTTTGTTTTGAAGTTGTCACTTAACAGTATTCACATAACAATAATTTAAAAATAAAAATTGTGAACAAGTTTAGTGAAAAGTCTTTTCCTTGTGAATTGCTACACAGAAAATAAGAAAAAGCCTAAATTAATCATTTATTTGTCTAAAATAAAAAAAAAATGAATTTTTGAAGTTGTCTAATAACAATAATTTAAATAACAAAAAGTACTGTGAACGATTTATTCCAAGAAAAAAAAAAAAGAATGTAAAAACTAGAATAAATATAAACAAGAAGCAGTATTGTTGGCAGTGCAAGAAGCAGTATTGTTAGCGGTGCAAGAAGCAGTATTGTTGGCAGTGCAAGAAGCAGTATTGTTAGCGGTGCAAGAAGCAGTATTGTTAGCGGTGCAAGAAGCAGTATTGTTAGCGGTGCAAGAAGCAGTATTAGTAGCGGTGCAAGAAGCAGTATTAGTAGCGGTGCAAGTAGCGGTGTTACCAGGTACTCTGTTTTAATACTCTATACAGCTATGGATATATACAGTGAATACAGTTAATAATTTATAATTGTTATTTAATAATTTATTATTTTTAATAATTTTAATAATTTTTAATAATTTATAGTTTCAATAGTTTAAAAACTTACAATTTTAATAATTTTAATAATTTATCAATAATTGTATATTTTGAATTTTTTTCGGGTAATTAATATATAAAAAAAAAGTGTCAATCTCTTTATTAATAATTTAAATAACATAAAGACTCTTTAAGTGCATCAAATATTTATTGATCTACCTAAACATTTTTTTTTATTGTTACCATAAGTTCTCTTAATTGATTTTTTTGTAGCTAGGTATCTGGAGCCCGAGAAGTGACGTCATTTCATCGAGTGTAGTAAGTACCTAAGGTAAAATTTATACAAGTTGTATAAAAGAGAAAAGAAAGAGTAGAACAGAATTAAGTGGTATAGAAAAAAAAAATTTTGCTTTTTTTTTTTTTTGAAATTTGATGTACAGAAAGAAGGTCTTGATTTTTTTTATTTTTTAATTTCTTTATGAAACTTGTGTCAGAAGAACTTGAAAGAGATATACATATGTTCGTAAGAGATATTGCTTATTTTGTATCGACAAGATTTTTTTTGTATATATATATATATAATACATAAATAGTTTTTTTATTATTTTTATTATTCTATATATTTTTTTTGCTATTGTAAGCATATATTTTAAGTTTCAATAAATGTAAAAATAATTTTTATAAAGCATAAAACAATTGGTTGCAAGTCATTTATTGGTTTGGGTTATTTCGAGGCATGTGAAATTTGTTTAATTAAGCTAATATAGTTAGTGGTAATATGAACTAAAAGCAAATCAGTAGCTCTAAGGGTGTGCTGGAGGTTATTTCGGGCAAGGGTAGTAAGACAATAATACCGAGTTACAGATAAAATATTTTAGTAATAGCTAGAAGATGGCAACAGAGAAGAAATGTTTAACCCTAAAGCAGCTTTCATCCAGTGAACAATACCTCATAGATAAAGAGGACATAATATCAATGATGCGAAAACTGGGCATGGGTCCTGGTAAAACGTGCTGGCTGCGTAAAAGCGAGGAGATCACTCTGAGTACCACGGCAGCAGCCGTCATCATTGCAAATAAAAAAGGAGTGATGCCCATTTTATTTGACGAGGGTTTCTTTAAATTCAAACAGAATAAATGAGGCTCATGATAGTTCTCGAGTAGGAAATAGTTAGAAATTGGAATGAATTCTGTATAGAAGAAGAAAGAGAAAAAGAGAAGAGTAGTATTACAGAGGTAGTATAGAATTTAAGTTTTTTTAGAAAAATTTTTTTTTGAAGTAAAAAATATGAAGCAAAAAAAAAAAAAATTGAAGTGTAGATTTTTTTTTATTTTTAGTTTTTTTAATATATAATTTTACATATAGTTTACTATGGAATTAGAAATGAAATGAAATAATATTTAAGGGTTAAGGTAATGATAAGTTAGATAGGAATAAGTCATGGCATATTTTTTTTTGTTAGATGTCAGCAGTAGGATTTGAGTAGCCAAGAACCCCACCCCCAAACCGGCGAGCATACCGGGCTTGCCACCATGTCATGCAGGGCACTTAAGTACTATAACAAACCATCTGAGCTGACACAACATGGTGAATAACAACGGGGTACAGAAATATTAGCAAAAATAGGCATGCAGGCAACCCAAGCTAACCACTTGCCCATAAGATCGGGTACCAGTGGTTGATCCCAGTCGATTCCGCTTCTCCAAATATCCTGAATAAGTATTTTTAAATATGATGTGAGGCAAGCTGCCAGTCCCAATGGATCAAAAATGGACATTAAAATTTGAAGTACTTCTCTTTTAGTGGGTACAATTTCATCTGCAAAAACATTACGACGTAAACGAACGAATTTTAAAACATATTTAAAGAAATCTGACTTCGGGTCCCAATATATGCCGAGAATTTTTTCGATCGGAAGTGTGTCGATATTATTATCAAACGACTTATCCGTCTGTTCACTATTTTCGTTTAACGCAGCTAAAACTTCTGGTGCATTACTTGTCCAGCTTTTCATATGGAAACCACCTTGTTCATGTATGTTGCGAACTGCCTCGGCTAATGCTATTGCTTGTTCAATGGAATTTGTTGAATCTATAAAGTCATCCACGTAATGATTGTTTTTAATAGCGTACACTGCTCTAGGATTTTCAGCTATAAATCTTTCTGCGTTCAGGTTTCGAATAAAATGCGCTATATATGGTGAACATCGCGCACCAAAGCTAACTACATTTAATTTATAAACGCATATATTTTTAAATGTCTCGCTGAACCCTAGAAATCTCTGAGCATCAGTATCTGCTTCTTGTACTAGAATTCGATGAAACATTTCAGCAATGTCACCATAGACAGCTATTCTTCCTAAACGAAAATTTAATAATATGTTTATAAGTGGTCGCAGCATATCCGGCCCCTTCAGCAAAAAATCGTTTAGTGACACTCCTTCAGCTTTGGCTGCAGCATCACAAACTAATCTATGCTTTTTCGGTTTAAGTAGATTGCGCACAATAAAAATTGGTAAATACCAAATCTTCCCACCTCGCTCGTTAATTGCATCTGGTGGCAACTCAGTTGCGTAGCCCTTGCTGACTAAAGTAGTGATTTGTTCCTTTAGCTTTTGACACAATTCAGGGTCCCCATGCATTTTTCGACGTAAGCACTCCGCTCGACGTAATGCCATCGGCAAGCTATTTGGCAATTCGACCGTATCGGTGTTCCATGGCAAATTGACAACGTAGCGGTTTCCGCGTAACTGGCACTTGCGCATTATTTCCTCTGCTCGCTGATCCTCAATTGAAAGTAATTCTGCTTTTGGGGTAGCCACCGCGACATTCTCGTTTACTATAAATGTCTTTACTAACTCATGAAGCTCCCTATCAGCTTCTTGTCCACAGCTACATTTGTGTAGGTTTAAGTTGTTACGGTGGTTTAATTCACCACCACCAAAAACTGTCCAACCAAGACGTGTTTTCACCGCCACGGGTTCTTGCCAGCCACCCTCCCTCACCTTATGTGCTGAAATTAAGTTTGGATTATTTACGCCGATAATCAGCATGGGGACAGCATTTGTATAACTTGCTAGAGGCAAGCCATCTAAATGCGGATACCATTGTTTTATTTTATCAGCTGCAAAAGATTCTGCTGACATGCGTAAGTTGCTTACTGTGCGGACATTTTTCAATGGGAATTTTTTAGCTTGAGGAGCATTGGCAGAAATTTGTAAGTTGAGCCTTTTTGAGTTATTTTCCTGTCGACTGATATTACCTGTCCAATTAATGCATAGTGCATCCTGGATACCATCGTTTCCCAATTCATCGGCTAGACTTGCTTCAATAAGCGTTAGTGTTGACCCATCGTCCATCAATGCATATGTGTTAATAGTCCTTTTGGTGCCATATAAAGTAACTGGAAGAATTCGGCAATATGACCAGTTTTTATTCACTGATGAATTATGGTTGTTGAGTAACGCTTTGTTTGAGTATGGACTTAAACTTATTTGTTCTACTATATCCGATGAAACATTGTTAGCTGTAGAAGATATTGCTGGCGTAGATTGGTCTATCCGAGAATGCAGCATGGGGTGGTGTCGTGCATTGCAGCCATCAATGCCATACACTTTATTACTGAAACAGCGACGCCTATGCTCGCCTAAGCATTGTCGGCACAGCTTCTTTTCCTTGACAATACGCCAGCGTTGATTGGTAGGCTCGTTCGTGAATATTTCACATTCCATTATTTTATGTCCGCCGCCACAAATGTAACACCTAACTGCCGTGGTTGTCATTTCAGCTGTCTGATGTACGTGCACTCGTCCTTCCTTTTTTAGTGGTTTATCTAAAAAAGAAGGTGTAGCTACTCTACTTGCTGCATTTGCTAAAGATGAGAGCCACGCTGAAAAATCGCGAAGTGTAGGTTCGGCTATTGATGCTGAATGTAGTGCCCATTTGAGCTTCATATCTTCAGCTAATTTACTTATTAGCTCATGTAATAAGAGTGGATTATTAAAATAACTATTCAGCTTACATGCCTCAATTGTTGCAACTACATTATTAATGTTGACTGCAAAGTCAATTAAATCGCCCAGCCTACCCCTTGGAGGCGGTAACTAACGCATTTTCTCAATTAATTTATTTAGAATAATTTCTGGTCGTCCAAAATACATACGAAGAGTGTTTATTATTTCTCCAACCATATTAGGCAACACCAACATATTGCGTACTACATCGCGCGCTTTACCAATGAGGCACCTCTTTAAGCGCATTAGACATTCATAATCGGAGAAACCTGCGATTTGCTTAGTTTGCTCGTACGTACTTATAAAAATGTGCAATTCTTCTGGATCGCCGCGGAACGTAGGCAAATCTCTCGGTATGCATTGACGCGCTGCTAGCTGAGACGACGTAAGCGTGGGAGCGATCTGTAAGGTATAAAGAGATGGATTATTTACTAAACTTGGTGTACTCTGTAGATGAGGTTGGCCATGTGGCGAAAAGTGTTCATCAGCTACGGCTTGATGTGCATTCAGCTGAGGTAATTGCCCAACTTCAGGCAAATGTGATTCCACGATACCCTCGTCGTCACTATCTGCAGTGAGGATTTTAAATTTTTCCCGCAAATAGCTCTCCCTGATCTGCAACGACTCCTCTAGTTGTTGCAACTTAAGTTGTTTTATTCGAGTAATGTTGGCGCTGGGCTGCTGTTGTTGTCTACTATGTTGACCATCATCCTCATTGTGTTTGTGTGAGATTTTATCATCACCATCTGCATCTCCAACTTCAAGTATGGCTGCTGATGTTAAACCTTTTTGAAGAGGCAGCTCCACGTCATTATCATTTTCCATATTATAAAGATTTTTTAAGATTTTCTTGTTGCAAAAATAAATATATAAATGCACATTTGACAATTTTAAATAGCACTCTTTATTTTGCGCTTAAAAAATCTGTAACATGATTAATGATTACAGTAAAATATTACGATTGAAAAATTAAACTAAAAATTTACTCACCTTTGTTTAGCAATCACAAACAAGAAAAGAGAAAAAATGAAAAACGGAAATTTACTAAAAATTTCGAAGTCTCCAAGTCAGCTGTTTGTCATGATTGCCAAACAAAGGTTTTTAAATTATTCGCAATTTTCGGCAACAATGCTTTTATAATTAAAATTCAATTCCGCTTTTTTCTTTTAGTAGTATGATATTTGTGCATATAATTGCATCTTTGGTGCATTTTCTCGAAACAGATTTTTAATATCAAAACATCAAAACAGACAATGAAATTTCTCAGAAAGTGCTAATATTTTAGCAAATATCGTGGTGAGTAAGAAGCGGGTGGGCAAAATAGCAAGACCGGTTGGAGAAAATAATTAAGCGCCTTTGTGTAGCATTAGAATGAGGTGGTAATTTTACCTTATTTCACAAAATTTTGAATATTATCCAGAAAATGTTATACACAATTTATCGAATAACTTTGTTTCTTTTCAAGATTTTTTAACAGTGACAAATTACATTTAAATATTTTTGACTGTAATTGAACAACTGCAAAATACATAAAAACAGAATATTTTAATAGTGTTCTCACTTTGCCGAAAGTATTTATTTATAAAATTTTACATTTCATACATTTGAAAGAGTGAATATCTCTATTCGAATTTGTTTGAACCTTAAAAAAAACGATAGTCGACTTACTTGAATTTTATTTTCAGAGGTTTGCTTTATAAACGGTCAATAGACTGTCTGCAACAAACAATTGTCAAGGAAGGTTCCACTGCTCTCTACAAAGGTTTCTTGCCATGTTGGATCAGAATGACACCTTGGTCTCTCACATTTTGGTTATCATTTGAGCAAATTCGCACTATGATTGGAGCTTCTGGTTATTAAAGGGTAACAACGAAGTATTTTAAAGGAATAAGTAGATTTGTAGGATGTTCTCATATTGAAATATTGAGTTTCTGTATCTTAATATTTATGCATATAACATCTTTCAGTATTTGATTGATTTGTAAGTTAACATGTGAAAAGACAATATCTATTAAATAAAATAATTTAAAAATAATAGAGTTCTGACGATAAACCAATTACTAATTAATAATTGTGGAAGTTGCAGTTATAGTTGGCATTTTGTAGTAATATTACGTAAAATAGTTAAACAAGAAACTGATCGTTCTATTCTTTTTTTACATTTTACTGTTTGCTGTATATATATTATTACATGGAAATAAATGACATACATTTGAAAAAATATTCACATAGGAAAAAAAATATTTTAATTTGAAATTTTTTTTTTTGCAACAAAACACCCATTCTTATCGCACGTTCTTTTAGTGCCTCTACTAAAGGCAAAGCATCTGGATATCTATTTATCAACAGTTATTAAGTGTCAATGCAACTCAGGCTTCGTAATACGAAATTCATTTCAGTGTTGCAATATCTACTTCGTGTCAAAAATTATATAGGAAAAATAAGCAAACGTTTGCGAATTCAATATTATAGCGTAAAAACATATAAATAAATAAATGAGTCAACAATTTTCATCAAATAATTTAATAATTAAATGTTTTAATGACCAAAAGAAATTTTTTACAAAAATAATTAATTCACGGGCTAATTGGTCAGTTATTAAATAAAAAAAAATTTATTATTTAGTTTTATAAGATTTTTATTATCTTATAAAAATCTTATAAAACTAAATAATATATTTTTTTTTTATTTAATAACTGACCAATTAGTCCGTGAATTAATTATTTTTATCAAATTATTTATTAATAATATATTTGTCGAGCACAATAGTATTTTTAATGAATTTTTCTATGTTCAGATGCTTATACAACTTTGAGCTCAATTCGGCACGGGTTGGCATAATGCGATCGATCTGAAATTTTTTCCCTTTATCACTAAGAGGAATATTTTTTGCGGCTACTGTAACACTGATAATATAAAATAAGTTAAATTAAATTAAAATATAAGTAAAACACAACAATAAATATAAAAACAAATGAATAATTCAAATATAAAACCAAGTACAAAATAAATATTATACAAATTTTTAATGTATAGGTAAAAATGAAGGGCAGAGTATTAAATAAATGTGATGTAACACATTTAATAATAATCTGCGTCAAAAACACGTGCGTATAGTTATTACAGTATACACAAGCTTAGTAAACGTAACGAGTTCGCTGCGTACATTTAACTCAGCAAAACTCTGTAAAGTGTGAATGGGAAAGAAGTTAGAATTCATTTAAAATATTTAAGTTTTAATAAAATAAACGCCCAAAAAAACGGGCATGTAAGGTCACATATTAGCCTACGGATACGAACAAGGTATCCTGACTTAATTGATTTTTTGTCATTAGAAATATTTCTTAAACGCATTTCAGCATATAGGAGTGTAACGACTTAGCTTCGACCATTCGTGTAACTATAGAATAGAAATAACAGGGTACTAGCTCCCATTTGAGCAGAGCACTGCGACCATGATTGATCTTTTGTGCTACGAACTATACTACTAGCACTCTATAAAAATTCAACCTTAAAGTAAATTTCTCCATAATTAAAAAATAGATTCATTGATTGGGACTATGACGTTGTAACGACCATTCCGGCCCCTTCCACGGCCGGGGTATACTCAGCGTATACCAGGGTTCAGTACAAGAACTCAACAATAAAGAAATAGAAAGGGAAAAAAACCTAAGGGTCTAAGAATTTTTTTGTAAAAAAAACGAAGATGAATGTCGTAGCAATGTAATTAAAATTTGTTTTTTAAATTTTTTATTTTTAACTCCAAATACAAATAAGATACAAATAAGATACGAATTCTACTAAATTTTTAAAATTTCGATCAATAAATTAACAAAAATTAATTAAATTAATTAATTAACGAAAAAATAGAAGCAACTACAACAGGAACTGGTTTACATGGCAAGTCAGACACGGCTGGAAAAATTATCTCAGCAAGTTAAGTCAAAACTCCACCACTGCAGACACGGTAAAGGACTACAGTTGGGAGATGTTTTTCGGAGCAGAAAAGAAATTACACAATGCAGTGGTGTTAATAAAAACGAAGTTATCATTAGCTACGTTTCAGCAAAAATGATCCGCTCAATGATCTGAATTATATTTGCTGAAACGATACGGATCACGTTTGAAAATAATTGGCAACGTATGAAATATGCCAGTTGGGTTTGTGCACAAAATTTTTTGATTTATGTGAATAATTTTGGCGCTAAAAATATAAATGAGATAATTTTGAATACAAAAAATCTAAAAAATAGAAAATAAATAAAATCTGTTGAAATGTCTGAAGTACGAAATGTAAGTTTTTATTTAGTATTTACTTAAAAACTTCAATTTAATTTTATAGTAAATAAATGGAAATTGTAGATTTTATTAGAATTATCGAGCAAAACTGACTCCTCCATTTTCTTTTTAAACACTAGTCCAAGTGTATTAAGCTCAAGGGATGAAGTGCATCAGCATGGATATAGTGAAAATTTTATGGAAACGATCAATAATTGTTCCGTTAAAGATTATTTGATTGGTATTTGCGCATAAAAAATATAATTGCTATATATTAATTATTTAATTATGTTTCATATTTCAATAGATTTGTTAATAAAATGCAATCAGCAAATACAAAATAACCGTGGTGGTCACAATTGAACGAGAGCAATGAAGGAAATTTACATTTTTTTGTGGTATATGGCAAATATAAATACTTTTCGCGAATTTGGTATTTGTTTTGGCATACCAAAAGCTTCTGTATAGAGAATAATTGAAAGAACTAGTGTTTAGCTTATATCAATTGCAAAATTTGCGTTCGTGATTGACAGCACACATTTTAAAATAAATGCACCTCACCATAGCAATTAGGCTTATTTCAAAAGGAAGCATGAATATAGCTTAAACTTGCAAGCAGTTTGCAATGGTTTTTTTTATAAACGTGTATGTTGGAGAGCCTG